AAATCATGTTTACTCTTGGCGTTCTTGGTAGTGAAAAATCTGTTGGCTGTTTTTACTTCCTTATTTCTCAGCATTTGCTTCCTACCTGTTTTTGAGCCTGTGCCCAGAAATAGTAGTTTTGTCAAACGAGTGGATTATGCCAACCGGCAGTTCCCTCTGCCAAAGAAGCTGCTGGATCACAAACCCCGGTGACTTCTTTCTTACAGTGATACTGAGATTCTCCCCCTTCCTCCCTCCCCCCATCTTAGAATATAAAAGTATTAAAGTCTGGAGAGGGCAAAAATGTAAGCAGATCTGGCGGTTTAAGAGCCCAGATGAAGGAAAGTTGGACTTCTGTTTCAGAAGCCCTCCTTTAAGCTGTTTGTGGAGGTGAAAGCACTGGAGAGGATAGCAATAATAGAAACCAGCCATTTTCCTTTTGTTGTTATCATTCTTTGTCCCGTCTCCCCTTCTTCCTACCCCCGTCCCCCATGGGTGTGGGTTTTGTTTCAGTGTTGAGGGGGTTTGGGTGGATTTCTTTTTTTTTTTTTTTTTCTTTTTCCCTCTGCAGAGAGCTTTACAGCTAGGAGGGAGAGGTACCTAAGCTTTTATTTTAACCAAGTTGGCTTGTGAGTTCTGCTGTTCCAGGCAGTGGATGAGCTCTGATTTTGGGGCTGAATTCTGCTCCTGACCCTGCTTTTCTGGACCACCCTGTAAACCCCTTGCTTTGGTGAGGGCTAAGCCAAAGGGTCGTAGCTCCCTTTGCAAGGTGGGGTGAATGAAGATGTGACAAACCATGCTATATGTGCATGTATTTTTACATATATATATGTATATTGCATCTCTGCTGTCATCAGCAGAGCTGTATCGACTGGAGGGTAGCAGAGCGTAAAATGTAACTAACTCCGTTTTAATGCAGTCTTGGGTATTAAGCACTCTTCTTTGACCTCATGTGGCAACTTTTTAGTCTGGACCTATCCTCCTCACTTCTTTTATCCCAGATGTCAATGATCCCAGATGTGACTGTAACATGGATTATGAGTGTGGTGGACTCTGTTTGGTTTTAAAATTAGAAAAAAGATTCTTTTTCCCATCAGAGCTTTGCATGTATTTACTCTTTGATCACATTGGAAGGGCCTATCCTGTCTCCAGAGGAGCTTTAGTTCTGCTTTCGGTGGTAACAGGGATCTGGCCCGTGCTGAATATTAGCATTTTAATAGCTTACTTAAAATCCTATTGCTGGTGCACTCACAGGGCTCCCTGCAGGAGGAGAGTCCAGCTCTGGGGTTTTGTAAAGCGATGTTGCAGGCTGCAATGCCTGCTGAAAGAGAGAAGTGAGGATGGCCTATTTGTCATAGATTATTAGTATTGTCAATAATAACATGTCTACAGTAGCCAAATTAATTCCTTCTTCCACTTTACTAAGTCCAAGAAATACCAGATCAGTTTTAGAACAGGGGAAAAAAGAAACTGAATCAAAGTTTGTATGTTATGATTCCTCTGAATTTCTGGTGGGAATACTCTGTGATAGAAATGATATTTCCACAGAGGCATTGGCTGCCAGTTTGCTTAATTACATTAAATAGTGGTATAAACCTCGGCAGAACATAAACCTCTGTTACAGCCAGTCATTAGAATATTGAATCATAAGGAATAATGATACCAGTGCTAACGTGTTACAACAGTCTTTATTATATTAGTGATTAAAGCGTTATTTAAAAAATAAGGTTTGTTGTAGTGGGTTAGGTGTGCATGCATATTTTCTCTGATCACCTATTAAGAGCCTGAGGACTGGATTTGAATTTATTACAGGGAAATAAAAGGCTTGCTTAGAGGAAGAACTACTAGATTGCTGCTTATGATTTTGCAATTTGATTCCACTTGTCCTTAAGGAAGATTCATAATGCTTACTTCAGAAATGCCATCTACATCTAGAAAATTAGGGTTAAAAGGACTACTTTGTTGAAACTAATTACAGGCTAGTTCAGTTTTTTAGTTGGTGACATTTTAGAGATTTTGCTTGTAACATAAGAGGTTATAGAAAGATTTGGTTGGACTGTGATATACAGTAATAAGCTGCTGTTTGAGTATATTGACATTTTCATCAGAAACAAAACAAAAAACCACTAGCCTTTATTTTACGGGGATGATAGGTATGAACTTGGTATCACTTTCTCACACTGGCTGTGGATGTTTGAAGGAATTCTTTTGCTTCACCTCCGTTTGTACAGTATCTCTGTTTATTTATTTATTTATTCGAATACACTTTCCTGGGTAATCAACTTCAGTTTCCATTTCAAGCAGATCTGATGGTAAAAGTCTTTTTGTGTCTTACACTTTTACCTTGCAGAGAAAGTTGCTATTCTGTACAAATAAATGGCTGAATTGAGAGCTATGGGGAAATCTGATCCAGAAAAAACATCCCTCAGAAAAAATGCACTGTATGCAGAACAATTCATATTTTCTTGTATTTGTCTTTGCTCCTAGTTCTTGTGTCATACTGAAAGGAGCAAGACCTTCTTTATGTACCATATTGTGTTTTACCTCTCCTGGTGCAGGGTTCAATTATCCTATCTAATTAGCACTTGTGAGTGCCCAAATCCTGCTTAGATTCAAGTCTTTGGGTGAAACTTTTCATTGTATTATTTAGCAGCAAGTTTGCAACATGCTTCCTTGTGCAAATGAAACGTCAGTTTATTATTTCCCTGTTTTAACTTACGTTATAGTCTGAACTGGATTCCTGGTTGCTGTTTTATTTTTCTGCTTTCTTTCATTATTTAAAAGCTAGTTAATTTTCTAGCCTCTCTTCCATTAAAAGAGCATTATTTACTCAGTTGTGCTGGTGTCCAGTAAATTGAGGGCTGAAGCTTTAGATCCTTAGGGTTCCCCTCATTTGGTGGATTGTTTTACCGTCTCAAACTGATGGCTCTACTCATTTAATTTGACAGATTCAGTTATCAGACTTGGTCCCCCTTGTACAGATGCAGCTGGATTGGTTTTCCCTTGAGAGATCCAAAACTCAAAGGGGAAAAAAACTAATTTTAAAAATCTCTGTTGCTTCCATGACACCCCCTCCCCAGTCACTTGACCTGCTTCGCTTGCTTAAGTTTGCTTGGTGTCAGTGAAATGCTCTGCTGAGTGTGAATGTGCTCCATGCACAGGGCAAAATTTGCAGATTATAAACATGCACGTTAATGCAACCCCTCCAAACTTGAAGTGTAATATATGCGTAGGCAGGTAGACTATTTTTCACATTGAAATTCAGGACTTAAAAAGTGCCTAGACTTATATTGCTTTTGGCAAGGGGTGAGCCAAAAAACCCAGGAGCTGTGGTTCTCTCTCAAAGCTAATTGTGTCTGTATATTAAGTTTGTCCATCTGTGCTTTGCAGGGATATCTGCATTACCTGATGGTCCTCCTTCGCATTTCCAGCAGTGAAACAGTTAACAGTGCTGCTGCTTAGTATATTGCTGTTACAGAGTCTTTATAGTTTCCAGGACATTTAACTAAATCAAGTGGATGTCATTAGCTGATTTTCACAGATGGGGAGACTGAGGCACAGAGGGGCAGAGTGATTTCATCTGCCTCTATTTCCCAAAGTTCCCTCCCCTTCCAGGAATTGTTTGTGCTACAAAACAGCTGAAAAGTTGTTAAAGCTTCATCTTGCCTAATTCCACCAGTTTTTTTTTTTTTTTTTTTTTTTTAGTGTGGGATAGGGACAAAATTCAAAAATACTAGCAGAAGGCAGAGCAAGGCAGAGATACTTACCTGAGCAGAAAATCCTGCTGTTCTTTTTTTTCCAGAGGTCATATTCTGTCTGAGGATACTTGTCTGCAGCACAGTCCTGAATGGCCAAGGCAGAGAAGTCCACCAGTGTTACTGACTCTTGCCCATCTGGGGCTCTTCCCTGGCCACTTCACTTCCTTTGGTTTAGCCTCTTGACCGTGCTCTTGTGTTCAAGCCCTCTGATTATTTGTAGTGGTATTTCTCTCTCAAGAGCTTGTATATATTATTGTGCCCTTTGCAAACAGCTCTTTCCATCCTCTGATTTCCTTTCTTGATTCCAGGGCCTGTTAAATTGCTGTGATCGTCTGTTGGGGTGGTTATATGTTTCAATTATATCAGGAATATTTGCTGGTGTATAGAAATATTCATGGTATAATTAGGACAAAAAATTTTAATCCCCACAAGGATTTTTACAACCATTGAAACTCCCCAGGACTTAATCACAAGAGTTGGGGCACAAACTTGGGTAAATTGATGAACTGTTTATTGTCAACCCTTTATGCCTCTTGGAAAACAAACTGCACAAATCAGGGTGATTATTGTTACTTGTTAGTTTATTGTGGTAGCTTCTGGACATTGCAGCTCAGATCAGGGCACCATTGTGTTAGGCGCTCTGCACCCCCGCAGCGAGAGCCAGGCTCTGCTTGGAAATGTTTCGGGGCTGAACAGACCAGATGGGCAGAGGGTGGGAAGGAGAAATCTTTGCTCTTGTGAGAACATGTACTGTAGTCTGTGTGGCCCATGTCCTGGGGTGTGCTCCCCAGCCCCGTTCCCAGCCCAGAGACCTATCTGCGAGATGAGAAAATGCCCTGGTTTCGTATCACATCTGTTTACATGCTGTATTTATCTCTGATGATGTTTTTAGGCCAAATCTTGCCCTTTTTTCTCCTGCTTTCCCGCCTCGTTGCTGTCATAGCAGGGAATATGGTACTCCTGGGACAAAGCCTTGTGTTGGTGGGGTGGGCAGAGGGCACAGAAGGAGAAAGTGATGAATGGAGCCTTGGGGTAGGCAAGAGTCTTTATTCTTGTGTGCTTAATCAAGGTGAGCGAAGATGCTTCAGTTTTTGCTTAGCTTCATGTTCAAAGCATAGGCAATGGGCTAGGAGCAGGTTGAGATGAGCATCAGGTGGGAGGAGGGCCAGGTGGTCTTACAGGAGCCCCCACAAGGACCCAGCTCATAGGGATGCCGCTGATGTCTCTGTGTGGCACCTGGATACCGACACCCCTGCAGGCCCCAAGCGGGTCCAGCAACAACTGCCATTTCCTAAAAGATGGGTTTTGGCACTGCATATGCAATTTTGCAGGCATACTGTGGGCTACTTCTGGGAATCCACATGGTCTCTTAGGTAAGTAAAAATCTCTACAGCCTGCCCTCGATGTTTGAGCCTCCAAAATGCTATGTGCAAATATGTGGATGACCTAAAATGCGGATTTTTATGCAGTAAGAAGAGTTGCATGCTCAAAACAGTAAATTTAGATATATTAGGATATTTATTAACCACACGGGGTGTTCCAAGCTCAGTTTATTTATCTTTGTAAAGTGCTTCCAGATCTTTGCATGGAAGGCACTAGAAAAATGAAAGGCTTATTATTATTATTATTGTTATTATTGTTGTTGTTATTATTATTACAGCATCTAACTACTGACAGGCAACCACAGCTGCATGCTCAATTCAAGCCACTTAAATTTAGGGGCTGATTTTTACACTATTGACTCTTAATACTTTTTCCCATTGACTCCATATGCAGAAATGTGTGTTCACCTGCCCCGCTGAAGTATCATTATTCTCCAGAAATATGTAAATGGAGTGCTTTTAAAGAAAGGAAGAAAATGTGGCATAAATATTAAGTGTTCACATTTTATGGTAAAACTCAACTGCCATTTAAGAAGGGCTTCAAAGCAGCCAACTGTATGAGCTGGTAGTTGTTCCTCTATCATTAAAAGAGAAAATGCATTGATTAAAATAAAACCAAGGAATCTTGTAGACAAAGAATAACATTTACGGTGTTCTGGGGTCTGAGATGAGCTACGAGCAGCCCAGGAAATGGAGCCCTGAGTTTCACAGTCAAGCGGTTTCACCAGCACGGTTGTGCACAGCCGCGTGTGGGTTATGTAATCTCACACTTCACCCACCCACACCTAAAGACAACAGGCACCTTCGAAAGGTCTTGGCATTATTCAGAAGGAAGGCTCCCAGCAATACCCCTACACGGTGTTTAACCTTATCTCTACTTACCTTTAGGAGTTCCTTTCTCTTTTCTTTCCTCTCCTTCCTTCTTTCTACTTCTTTTTTTTTTTTTTTCCCTCCTTTTCCTTCCTGTGGTACATCAATAGTGATATTTTTGTGTCTCCAAAAATGGAGCAGATATAGGGAGAAAAATCCCATTAGCACCATGATGTGTTTTCACGGCAGCTCTGAAGGTTTCGGTCATGGCCGTTTTGTGCATTTTGTAGCATTGTCCTCATGCTGTTATTCTTTTTTTTTTTTTTTCTTTCTTTCTTTCTTTTTTTCCCTAAGTAGAGTTGAAATGTTACATTCTGAAAACACCAGCTAAGTATTAAATAGTACCTAGCCTATGCTTTCTTTAGGTTTTAAAATAGGAAATAATTAACCAGTGGTTTTAAAGATCTCCAGAACAGTCAAACAGGCCTATGAAACCCCAGGATCTAATAACAAAGGTGAGTTGGTTTTCCAGTGCCCTGAGAGTTTGAAGATACCCTTACTCTGGCTTTTGAGTTACAGGAGCTCAACCATGTTTCATTCTGGTATAGCACGGCCCTGAATTTAACTGATTTTCGGAAAAAGACAAAGAAAACCCCAAAACCCAGCAATGTTGCTGGCTGTTAATTAGATGTATTTTAACTGCAAGGTCATTTTAGCAGCTAATATTGTTGTTATGTGTTTCAGTGTGAATCCTTAGTGAAGCTATTAAACTGTGAGAGCCTGAACTTACCAGACATTTTGTAACGTGGCTGGATTTTTGTATCCTTGTTCAGAAATCTGTGGGGAGTGGAGGACCTTTCTGGCTCTGACATGGAAAACACATTTCTTACCAGCTGAATACCAGGGTGGTCAGCTGAGACCTGCTTGCACCTTCCTTTTGCACCTTTTTTTTAGTCTTTAAATTTTTCCCTACCTGGCAATAAGATTTCCTTTTTCTGTTGCACTCCCTTCCTTCTCTCCCTGGCGGTAGTCAAGCCCCATGGTGCACCTTCTAGCTGAGGATGCGTATTTAGCAGCAAGGACTGGTCTCAGTTATTTCAGGATACTTTTGACTCCTGCCTGTTGTATACGACAGGTTGGCAGCTCTCAGTAGCCGGTGGGCTCTCAGCATCAGGCAGGCTCCTGCTTTTGTAAAGCCATAGCCCACAGCAGATAGCAGACTTAGCCATCATTTTCCGATCGGTTTCTCACCCAGAATTCTTACTTTGTAATTGCTGGGTTGCATTTCTCAGGGTTAGGATTTTCCCCCGCTGTCTCATTGCATCAGTTGCTTTTATTCTCCTTCGCACTCTAAAACAAAATGACTGATACAATATCCAAACTGATGAAAAAGAAGGGGATTTTTTCCACCCTTTATTAGCTCAGATTTGAATTGGGTTATCTGCCTATCTTGTTTATGAAATTTTGTGCTGTCTTTTCTGCACAGACTGTTACTCCCAAATCTTCCACAGCTCCATTTCCATATTCCTGCGTGCTTGTTCTTTGTTAATCACTTGGCAAGCGCTTATTTGAATATTAAAAATTTCTTTAATCATCAAAGGCAGGAGCACAGCTTCATGAATATTCATATTTTTTTCCTCCTCAGACTGGATTCTAGTTCATTACCCTGCAGTAAAGCCAAACAGTCATCAATCGCGCTCATTACAGCCGCTGGCGTTTTGATTGGCTGCCTGCTGCTGGTAGCCCGCGTCCCCCATCCTCCCGCTCTCCTCCATGAGCTGTCGTGTACCTGCCAACAACAACAACAAAAAAAATATCAACAATGCAAGAATAAATTTCTCCGGTTGAAAAACAACTTTGCAAACTTGTCAAACAGTCCTTGTCACTTTTTTTAAAATTTTTTTTGGTTTTACACCAGAAAAATTAAAAAAAAAAAAAAAATTAGAAGGGAGAAACTTGAGCTTTAGAGATGAATATTTGTCAAGAGAGTTGACGTAAGTTTCATTTGCATAATGACTTTGTACTTCTGCATTAATAAAATTTGCATATGAAGCCATGTTAATTACTCCTGATCATGCTTTTTGCATTCATGCATAGTAATTTTCTCCGACTTGTGAGAATTAATGTCTTGGCATGGGGGGAGGAAGGGGGGGAGTTGGGGTACTGTCAAATTGCTGTGCCAGTGCCCCTCACTCACACTCTTTCTCCTTCTTGCTCACCACGTTGCTGTTCTTGATCTATGACTCATTTATGCATTATCATTTGAAATTCTTGGGAGAAAGAAATGTCTCAATTTAAAGGGAATCCTTGTCTGCCAAAAAAAAAAAAAAAATTATAAATAAAATCCCTGAGCAAAATATAACAAGAAATCCCTTCCCTGCCCTCCTTCTTCCCTCCTCAGTGCAGCCTTTCCATTTCCAGCTCTAGCAAAGTTTTGTCTTGGCATCATAAGTCGGTGGAGGGGAACTGCTCCAAAACTGCTCTGTGTGTGCTGGGGGAAGAGGTAAAGGCTGGTGTGCAGGTGTGTCTGGCTGAGTGCCGGACTCTGTGCCTGAGTGCATATAATAGCGTGTCTGCCTGTACCACTGAGTGGTTCTGCCTTTCCTGGGGAATGCTGTCCGTGTCTGCCACTTGCAGGGTGTGCATGCATTACTCTTCTAGTTGCTGTTGGAAATGTTTGTGCATCTGTATCTGTGTATCCTCTGTGTGTGTGTACATGTGTGTGCTTGTGCATGTCTGCTTCGTCAACCCTCTTGGTGTCTGTATAGAAAGGCATGGTAGAAAGATAATACCAGGTGGGAGCAGTCCATATGAGAGGGTGTAATACATATGACATGTCTTGTTTTAGGAAAAGCTTGAAAGAAAAGTCTGTTGGAAAGGTTAGTGAATAGATCTGTCTTTCAGCTTGGATGTGCCTGTTCAAAGCTGCTGCAATGGTATATATAAAAACCATCTCAAAACATCTGCAGTACTGTCCCTGAACATGATGGGCACAGGGCAGCAATGAGGCTGCAGCGTGCACTCTGCATTTGTAGCTGTACACTGTTTGAACAGATGTTTTTATTGAGTTTTTAATAATGGAGCTGATCTTTAGTCTCTAATCAGCTATTGATTGATTTTTCATCACCAGACAGGCACAGAGAGACACACAGAAAAACTTGGTTCGTGCCCTGTTAAGTGGCTTACATGTCCTCCTGCGCGCCTGCCTGTCTGCCTTGTACACAGATACACACCTAGGCACCCACCCAGGCAAGCATACAACACCCCAAGGGACACACCAGCTACATGTGGCTACATGTGGCTGCATTTACATGTGACATGAGACATAAAACAAGATCTCTTAAATTAAGGTTGAGTCCCCTGGTCTCCACCATGCTGAGGTAGGACATTGTGAATACTGCTTGTAGCTCCATCTCTGTGCTTCGCTCAGGGACTTTTCTGCAGATGTGCCAGGGTAGCATGGTGTTTTACATATATCACATCATATGGCCAGTTTTGCCTAGGTTCAGGGAGAGACACACAAAAGAATTCATTTTATGCCTTGATTGTGGCTTTTGTCATGTTCATCTAGGCTCTTATGCACATTTCCATCTTCTGGGGTCAGGTCCAATTTACCTTATTTTCTTCTTTGCAAGTTTAAAAATAGAAGAGAGCAAAAGAATTACTGTTAGTGGTGTCCAGGAGTCAACATAACCTGGGAGCTACTGCCATGTACAGGCACCAGCCTCTTAAAGCATAAGGACAAAATCCTCCTTCACCATCAGCAATGCAGATCTTTTATTTACATGGTGACAGTCCCTGTGCATGTTTCACACTCATGCTGTGTGCAAAACTCCCTGTCCCATTCCTGCAGAATGAATGCAGAATATGTAATTCAGATCTGCAGTGCAGGTGAGTGGTTTCCCAGAGCAGACCAAAGAGGAAAATTGAGCCTCACACATCTTTGTCAGCAATGTCCAAGTGACACAGAACTGTACGTGTGTGCCTGTTCATGCCTGCTCACCCCATCCAGATTGGATATTTTCTCTAAGATTGCACCGCGGTTCTTGTGGTCTGCTTTCCCTTAGTGCCAGTTGTGGCTTTGCTCTTTGTGGCAGTCAGGGGCTTGCAGGAGCGTTTTCTTTTTGAAACCTATATGCAACATGATGTGGTTGATTGGCTGTAGAATTCCAGAGACTGGCTCCCCTCCCTCAGGTGGTGCTGCATGGGTTCAGCAGAAAACTCAGCACCACCTCAGGATACCATCTGTCTATCTGCTTATGTCTATTTATCTTTTAATCTTTGTTCATTTTGTGTTTGTTCATCAACAGTAGAGTCCCTGTCTTTGTTTTCAGCTTGAAATAGAGCCTTTATGGGGAAAAATCCTGCAGAAGAGGAGCTGGAGAGGTAAAACATGGGCATATTCCTAGTGAACACAAGCTGAGCATTTCTGAGCACTACTGTTATTCTTTCCATAGCAATGAAGAGGTGCCGTATACCTCATGGTAGAGAGTTCCTTTTTGCCATGCCTTTCCTCGAGTCCAATGGTTACGATTTCTCCCTTCCATGATTTGCTACTAGATCTCATTCTATAGGACCGTCCTGATTTGTGAAGCAAAGAAGCAAACCCTAAAGTGGCAACAAAGATGAGGAGGAATCACCTGATTTGACTTTGATTGCAGTGGCAGACAAAGTCTCCTGGTCTGGGAGCTCCGTGGTCTTTGTCTCTCAGTGCTGGACTCAGGAGTGGTGGTGGGACACCCTGAGCATCTGCCAGAGTCTTTCTTTGCCCATTCTTCTTCATTCTTACAAACCCTTTCCTTTCTGACACTAGGTTAGCGCCTTTTAAATTTCCTCATATATACATCAAAGGACAGAAAAAGATGTAACATGTTCAGTTCCATGACTCAGGTCAAAAATACCTGACTAACATGTTCCAGTTCACTAGCAACTGGTTCATATATTCCTTCACATAAATTTGTTAGGTACCTTATTAAAGGGGATTGCTGTCTTGCTCCTAGTACCTCTGTTGGAAGGCTCTTACAGGATTCCTTTGCCCAGATGGTTAGAAACCTCCTATTTGAAACCTTAGCTCCCATTACACACTAGAGGAGATGTATTGGACAAGAGCAGGGCGTGCTCCCTGTACCCATTTGGTGAGTTCTTAGCATCTTCTTGGATGCCTCAGGTCTGCAGATTCTGACAAATTCATTGCCAATGGATAGGTGGGACCCACCAGGACTAGAGAAGAGAGAGGCTGTTGTTCTCAGGGTAATGTTGCATGCTAGGACCAGTGCACCACCATGTTAAAACCTGATGCAGTTGTGGTTGATGGTGCACTTGGTGGGCTTCATATAGTACCTCTATATCTGTGTTTGAAGGAAATTTGTGTTGATTTCCTTCAAAACCTGTAGTCTGGCACCATGATGCACAGGGGGCCGAATGACTGCAGGACGTGTGCCCTTAGTCATAGGGCGGCTGCAGGCATGTCTGAGTTGTAGTTGTCCTGTGGTCCTACTCTAAGTCCTGATTTCAAGCTCTCGGCTTTCCCAGTGAGGATGAGTACCCGGGCAGCCCAACATAGCCTATGCTAAGCCTAGGGTATTTTCTGTAATCGTAGGAATATAGGATACAATTGTTAGGTCATTGGAGGGAATCATTGCTACTTTTTGCTTGTTCCATGAAAAAAAACCCCACAACCTTGTTATTCAGATATGTTACAGTGGCAATAGAGTGGTTCATAGACACATAGAAATCCATGTCTGATACCATTTTTCAGATGCCTAGCACACGCTCCTGCCTAGAATGCAACATAGGTATAATCTGGATAGTAGTTATCATCACATGCTTGTGTAATACTTTCAGTGAGATCAAACAGTTACGAAAGCCAAGCAACTGAGCCCCCAGAATGAAAAAAACCCTTCCTCATCCCATGAGCCACATAGATGGCTTCTATTTAAAACCAGTCCTCACAGAAGAGCACAAATTTTATCCTTGATGCTTGAAGTTCAAGTATTTACACAGGGAATTGAGACTCTTCACTTGTGGTTTTGGCAAAAGCTTCACACAAATGTTTTGCACTGGTGGTCTCTTAGCCATTTAAGATAAATGACAAAATCAAATGCAGTCCTTGCAAACTGGAGCAGTGGATGTTGTGCCAAGGATGAAGTATCCCCTTTTGCCTCGTGTAGCTGTCAGATCAACATGCAGGCCTAGTTTCTGAATCAGGACTCTCTAGGTGGAGAGGCTCCCTTGGAAAATGTTGCATTTTTAGGGTTGGACACTGCAGCCACAGTGTAAGCTCCTTTAGAAATTTTTTTTAGCGTTGGAGGGAATGCAGATAGATATTTGTTCTTTCTGCCATGTTATTTGCGTGCATCTGCATGGCGCATATGCACACACAAGCAGATTCGCCACCATTAAAAAAAAGAGAGCATTTGCCAGAAGATACCCCCCAAGTAACACGTATATTTCCTGATCTAAATACAAGGGGAAACTGTGGTTTCTGATCTACCACTGTGCGGTAACTATTGGCAAATGCCAGCTTTTTAATGGTGACCACTCCACCGGATATCTTCATTTAGAAGCTGCCCTTGATGAGTAGCTACCCTGTATTTAATAATTAAGTGCTAGGCATAGTTTTAAATGAAGGGGGCGGGATTCTTGGTGGATGTAAAGTGATGCTGTTTGCTTGACTTCCCTTTAAACTCTGCTAAGTTGCACCAGTCAAAACTGTGAGTCCTACCTGATTCTGTGTGTGTGTTTGTGCATATCTGTATTTGTGCAGGTGTATATTGATATTTAAGACTTGTGTCTTAGTTTTTCAAAGCTGTGGAGCTCAGTTTGGACTAGTGCCAGGAGCAGGAGAAAACTCTTCTAAGTACAGCTTATAAATGGCAGGTGATTCCTAGAGGGGTTAAAAAGAAATAATATGGTTGGAGGTTACAGTATCATCTTTTAGCTACCAGGAGCGAGGTTGCTCCCTCCTTCGCAGGCTCAATAGGGAAGCAGCCTGCATAGCTGGGGCATGCAAAATGCACAACTGGCAGCAACTCAAGCAGCACAGCAGCCGCCAGTGCTTCCTTCTGGGAGTTCGGCTCCTGGCATCTCACTGATGCCATTTGAGCTCGAAGTCACCACATTTTGTCCAGGCTGGTGCGTGGAGCGTGCTTCAATAGCGGCTCGGCAGAACGCCTGCTCAGTTTTGTGTCAGCTCAATGCATTAACACAGCCATATAAACAATAATCCCCCTTTTGATTCAGTTCCTGAGCAAGTGCCGGTGGTGATGTCCACTGTCTCTGTCTCTGCTCTGTGCCATGGCCAGTCACCCCCCTCCGTAGCAATTTTTCCCCATTCTGTGCCCCCCCCCCCCCCCCCCCCCCCCAGGCCCCCAGCTCTGGTTTGCAGGTCCCCGAGGTCTTTTCTTGCTCTTCCCCCACCTGGTGTGAGCGTGCCAGCCTCAGCCAGACCCAGAGAGAGGCTCAGACCAAGTGTGTTGCGCGTTAGGCAGCCCGCACCCGCCTCGCCTGTTTCCCCTGATGATGCCTCCTGTGTCCCTTCAGACTTAGATCCAACTGACAGTTTTTTCTATTGTTTTTTCTCCAGGGCCGTCCAGGCCTGCAAACCTGCTGGGGGCTCCCATAGCTGCCTCCTCCCACCCTCACACATCCGTGATCACGTCACCTCTCCGCGCACTGGCCTCCCTCCCGCCCTGCCTTAGCCTGCCCTGCTGTGGTGCACGTGCAGTCTCAGTTGGCGGGACTCAGACTGAGATTCAGACTGAGACGTCAGGCACATTTGGATGTCATTGTCAGTTGTCAGGTAATAGAAACATTTTTTTTGTTGCTATCTGAAGGTCAGTAGTGCTGCCAAGTGATGTCGTCTTTGCTGTGGGAGAGCTGCCTTCGCTGGGTCATGTGGGGAAGGCAGAGAAAATGTCCTTAACGACCCCCTTTCCCTCCCTTCTTCCCCCTCCATCCTGGTGGAGGATGGGGAGTGGGAAAGGGCCTGCGACTCCTTCCATTTCCGCATCCCTCCCCTCCTGCCTGCCCACCATCAGCTGTCACCAGTGGCCACTGCTGGGCTGTTTGTGCCACGTTGTGAACAAATGTTTGAGAGTCCTCACAGAACGTGATACCCCAGTATCAAGATTTCATCTCTCTGGGGTGTTTATTTAAAGCTTAATTGGATAACATTTAACATCTGAGGCTGGTTTGTTGTTTTTTTTTTTTTCCTCCTTTTTTTTCCTTCCTCCCTAACCATTTGTATTAAAAGCTCTCCTCTGCATCCATGTGCATGTAGGATGTATGTGCTCCATGCCATTGTCTCCCTTGCTTTGAGGAAACACTCCTTGGTAACTTGCCATGGATCCCTTGCCTCTCCCCTGTCAGCTTTTCTTTCCCTTTATTCCTTTTGGATGCCTGACTTTTGTCACCGCAAGGAGGGGAAAGTGATGTGGAAATGAGGGTGTACCAAGCTAGCCAAAGAGGACACGGACATATTGTTGCCAGACCCCATAATTTCAGACCCAGCAATCTCTTTGAAATCAGTGGGTGTTTCAGAGCGTGGCTCAGTTGCAAGACTGGGTCTATGGTGAGCTGCGGGCTGGAGAGGTGAAAATGGGGAGTGCTTAAAGGAAAATGCAGCCGTGGCAAAATCCACAAGTGTTTACGGAGTCTCACTGTGGTGGGCCAAACCCTGCAGCCCTCATTCATGCTAACATGCATGGAGTTTTAATAGGGAGTTCCCAGAACGATGCTGGATAAATGATGAGTGAGGACCAGAGGATTTAGAGAGACAGCAACAACTGTCAGGAGAAAAGCCTTTGGGAAATTGCTTCTCATGCCCTCCTGAAGCTGGCAAAACTTTGCTGCACTCAGCTGTTCCTTCTGCAGGCAGTGGTACCACATGGCTGCAGTACACTATATTTTATGGTAATGTCCTTGTGCATCTCTCATTGTAATAGAGCAAGACAAAAGCAAGAAATTTAAATTTGTATCTTGGAAGCCCTTGGTCCTGAAAGATGAATGTTCTCAGGAGGAGGCTGAGAGCATGCTGCAGGATCCCTTTTCGACCCTGGGTAAAGCTCAAGGCATGTGAGGAAGGCTCCTGTGCCTCCTGGGAGAGGCTCGGCCTGCACCCTGCCACTTGCGCCAGGATGTAGGAGTGGGCTTGCAACAATGCGCTGTGTGATGTGGTGCAGTCAGTGCATCCATGGGATTTGGTTAGATTTCCTAATTCAAACTGCCATATTAAGTGTGTGGGGATGCTGTTTTAATAAGGCTGTGCTTCATCAGCCTCAGCAAATTGTCCAGCTTGCCTGAGACAGGTGCAGAGAAGGGCTCTTCCAAAAGTGAGTGCTGGATCAGAAACTAAGATAGCTGCTGTACCTCCCCAGTTTCTTCCTCTGTGCCACCAGTAATCCAAACTGGAACTGACTGATATTTTGCTGTTCTCTGTCTTCACTGGTGCAATATGCACACAGGTGCTTTTAGTAGGCAGGTAGTTGTAGCAGTGAACTGGATGCCCTGGTTCCCTGTTGCTTCTGATGCCAGCAGCTTGTGGGGAGGGAAGCAAGTACAACTAAAAATAGAAAAGGAAGGAAGGAATAACTTATTAAAGAATGTGGGAAGGCAAGGCTTTTGTACTTTCCGTACTTTGAGTTCTCGCTGTGGATTTGTGCACTGTGAATTTTCAGAATTGCCTGTTTGCTGGGAGAGTGATGCCAGCTCTGTGGAGAGAGAGATGTGTTATCATGGCTTCCTGTAATTACTGCTGCAGTCTGCGGCACTTAGAGAATAGGTTATATCAAAGAGCATGCTAACATGTTTATGACAGTAGTTGGTCAAGGTCTGCTTGGAAGAAACATTTTCTTCCCTTGAAAAAAAGAGATTATATCTACTTAACCCTTTCTTAGCTCCCATAGTAATCACTGTATATGAGACTGCACATGGTTTAAACTCTGTGGCAAGGGTTATGGGATCTTTCTAGCTCCCAGAAGGTTTTGTGGAAATGAAAGAAAAGTGAATTCTTTGTGCCGGCTAATAATCTAGTGATGATCCCTGCATTGTGCCCTCTCTTTTTAATATAGACATTTACAACAGTCACTTGCTCCCGCTTTAGAGATCTGCTTGTCTTTCTGACTTGATTAGCCTTTTATTCTGTCAGCCCTGTTCTTGCTTCTGAGGAATTGTTTCCTTCTTTGAACAAAAGCCATCATCAGTTCCCGCCTCTCCCCCTCCTTCATCATTTCTTACCTTTCCTGTTTTTCAGCATTCATTTAAGTCAGGACCTGGAGTTTTTCTGTGCAGTTCTCAAGGAGGCTGTGACTCTGAAGGCTTGAAGTTGCAGGTACTCCCAAATCTCTGCTGGGCACTCACAAATCAGACCCTCAGGGGTCCCAGCAGTTTTGTCATGGAGAATCTAAACTTCTGGCTGCCAGTGGGATTTGAGGTACATGTGTGAGAAAACTCCATTTGGAAATCTCTGATCAAGATAAGAACAATTGCCTGGAATGCTGAGTAACGTTCAGTCATGCACAGGGGAAGTCATGCTGCTTCATCCAGACGTGTTTGTGATTTTTAGAAATCGTGCTGGTGGTAATTTCTATCACAGTAAATAATGCTGGGAAGACCACTTGGGTGTCGAGCGTACTGCTTGGCTGATGCTGGTCCTGGTCCCCTCTATCTTTGTTCAGTCGTTTTTGTTCAGGGCACCACAGGATGAAGAATTTGCTAGTAAAGGTGTGTGTTTTTCCATGTGATTAAAAAAAAAATATATATATCTACCACTGGAACAATCTCTCTCAGTCTCTTTATTTTTATTTTTTTTTTTTTTGTCTCAGAGGCTTCTGTCTGTTGAATTGGGTTCTCCTGTTTAAATGTTTTTAGTGCCTATTTAATTAGAAGTTGGAAGAGAGTCATGAAATTCACAGGGTTGTGTAGCTTGGAACTAAAATATAAATGGGCAGAGCATTCATTTTGCTTTACCCCTTGCCAGATTAGGGTGCTTTTTTGAGCCTGCTTTTTATTTAATTTCAATGAATTGCAACTGCTCAGAGTAACTGTAAAACACACACGTTTTTTTTTTTGCGTAACAGAGGCATGCAAATGATTGTTGAGAGATGTAATTATGTAAAGAAAAGTATATGCCCGTATGCAGGCACATATACATTGCAATGCTTTTTGTGGGGCTATTTTTTCACAATACATCTTCATAAGGCTGTTTTTATGATGCTGATTTATTAATATTGTACATTAAGGCTTAAATTGTCAAAGCTGCCTAAGAGATTTGGATGCCCCTTTCCCATTAAAGTTAACGAGAAATGAGCTTTGAAAATCTCAGCGCAGAAGTGCGTGGCACTTTACAGTGTGCTCTCCAAAGAAAGAAGTCCCTGCCCTGAAGATACTACAGTGCAAAAGCTCCCAAAATGGAATTCTAATCAGCATAAGACAATGGGGACTGTAATGGCACAGATAATAATTTATCCCCTATGCCACAATTCAGATATATACCTGATCCAAGATCTTTGGACCTGGGCCCATGAGTGAGGTTTTTATATACCTCTGTAAAGATAATTAAATCTGTCCAATACACATATATTCAGCTAACCAGTGAAACTGCTTACTTCCCACATGTAGGTTGATGGAAGAAGGTGGAAAGCCATTGCGATACTTAGTTGCATATATAAAAACAGCATGTGGGCGCGGACAGCAGTGATTAATGGACATGGCTGTGAAGTTTTAAGGTCTAAAACAGAGAAATGCATGGGGCCATAGCAGAGAAGACAGGAACAAGCTCCTGTTATTTCAAGGAATCAACTGTATTAGTCATTAGGATGTTTTGAAAATCATGCAGTCATCTTGTAAAGTTAATATCGGTTTACTTGGCTACTGAAATTCTACTTACAGCACCATTTAACAAGTCTGGTGTTTTCTTAACAAATGTTAAAGTGCCAGTACAGAAAAAGAAGTACCTGTAAGTAAATAATAGGTTTAAAAAGAATACTTTTCCCTCCTTCAATTATATCACTGTATTCATTGTGTTGGTTTTAAAATGGAGTCAGACAATAAGAAGAGCTAGATTAGACCACCCTGCTGTAAAAATCTTGATGCAATTAATACAGTCTGTCTAGAAAGTAGTATTATTTCAAAAACTTTTATGTTAATGATATAGTATGCACTCAGCACATTTCTTACTAGAATGAGAAGCAAGCTTTTGTTCACTCCAGACTGTGTTGTATTAACACAGGAGGATCAATGGAAAACAAAACAGTAATCAGAGTGGAGAATGCAAACTCACCCAGCAAAAACCTTCAACTCATCAAGTCCAGAAATCCAGGATGATGGCTAGTATTCTACTCTTCATATTTTGTCGAGTAGAATCTCAAAAAAAAAAAAAAAAAAAAAGAAGAATGAAGAGCCCACTAATACTTGATATCTGGTCAGCACTGAATGTTTTTTTGAGAGGATAGAGAGGAACTGGGTATATGTGTCTGAGGGCAAAGACCTGTAGTTTCCCTGAGACCCTTTGTAAATGTATCTTTTCATCTTGCTGCATAAAGAAGAGGTTTGCATAAAGTAGGGGCTAACATTCCGGAGACATGGCCCTATCAGTCATCGTCACATGTATTTATTTGTTTTAGTGAAATAGTTAATGCATGCTACAGTGGAACTGACTTTGTAGACAGTACTTACAGAGTGCAGGGGTGTGTGAGATGTATATACTGCAAACGGTAATGCATCAGTCTGAGTGCATGCATCCATCGTTTCATCTATCAATCTATGTGTTCATCCATCTATCTGAGTATTAAAATCATATGC